TTGTTTTAGCATCTTTTCGGTCTTTCTTAGTAGAGGGTCGATCCGGGTCCGTCTTTAAGAAACTATGTTTGTGTTACGTTACTTGGTCTATTGTTGTAGTTTGGGCTTTGTTGTTGTGGCTGCTTGCCATCGTATAGTGCGTTTTCTTTGGCCTTATAGCCTTTATGGCATGTTGTTTGTTTTTGCTTTCACTCCTCCTTTGATGAGTTGGGTTCGTGGTGTTGTTGTTGTTGCTGTTGTTGTTCTTGCTTTTGTTTCATAAACAAGCCTTGTCTTTGTTAGGCTGTCGTCCAAACCGTCGTCATCATCGTTCTCATCGGCTTGTCTTTGTTAACTGTCAGATCCCCATTCTTCCTCAGCCATTTATAAGCCCAGCCCACCCCTCAGCCTTGTACCTGTCTTTCATTCATTTTTCTCTTTGCCTTTTATTCAACTTTTCGCCTTTTAATTGAAATTTTAGTTAGAACTTCTTTCCAGAGTAAAATATCATATTTCACCGTGAGCACCCCTATAAATACCGAGAAATGGATCCCATATCCCATACATTTTTTGAGGGGAGATATTTTACAAATGTTAGGGAAAAAGAAAATGCGGGGCGGTTTAATTGATTAGCTGAAAGAAATGCATTCTAATTAAAGAAAATCAAAACTGTTCATTTTTGTTCATGGTGTCGGATTTCCAAAGCCACCATGTGAAAAAGTTGTACCTCGATTAACAGTAACCTGTATTACAACACATTGAAGCACCTTCGAAGTTCCTCTTAAACATATCTTGTAATTTTGCATAGAAAAGTAGGCATTTCCTATTGAAAAAATATGACCTAATAAATTTGCTATTGAGAGGGCTGTATACATTTGCTATTGACAGGATTCTCTAAAAAATTGTTGTCATCGCCTACATGTTTTATATATATTATGGTTGTCACACACATTGTCTATAGAAAAAGTAGACAATATTTTCAAAAGGAAATATTGGCATCGAATATTTTTTTTATAGAAATTGATCGAATCAATACGATTTTCTACAAGAAAGTCTTATCGACAATATTTCTTATAAAAAAGTTATTATATTCTTTACAAGAACATTTAATATTGACAACATGTTCTAGGAAAAATTGTTATCGATAACACTTTCTATAGAAAATGTTTTATCGACAACATTTTCTATAGAAAACGTTGCTATCGACAACATTTTCTATAGAAAACGTTGCTATCGACAACATTTTCTATAGAAAACGTTGCTATCGACAACATTTTCTATAGAAAACGTTGCTATCGACAACATTTTCTATAGAAAACGTTGCTATCGACAACATTTTCTATAGAAAACGTTGCTATCGACAACATTTTCTATAGAAAACGTTGCTATCGACAACATTTTCTATAAAAAACATTGTTATCGACAACATTTTCTATAGAAACCGTTGGTTTCGACAACATTTTCTGTAGAAAGCGTTGATATCGACAACATTTTTTATAGAAATTGATGTTATCGACAACATTTTCCATAGAAAAGTTTGTTATCGACAACATTTTCTACAGAAAAGGCTGTTATCGACAACATTTTCTACAGAAAAGGCTGTTATCGACAACATTTTCTATATAAAAGTTTGTTATCCACAACATTTTCTATAGAAATTGTTGTTATCGACAACATTTTCTATAGAAATTGTTGTTATCGACAACATTTTCTATAGAAATTGTTGTTATCGACAACATTTTCTATAGAAATTGTTGTTATCGACAACATTTTCTATAGAAATTGTTGTTATCGACAATATTTTCTATAGAAATTATTGTTATCGACAACATTTTCTATAGAAATTGTTGTTATCGACCACATTTTTTATAGAAATTGTTATTATCGACAACATTTTCTATAGAAATTGTTGTTATCGACAACATTTTCTATAGAAAAGGTTGTTATCGACCACATTTTCTATAGAATTTGTTGTTATCAACAACATTTTCGTTAGAATTTATTGTTATCGACAACATTTTCTGAATAAAAGGTTGTTATTGAATATAAATATGGTTATTATCGATAACATTTTCTATAGAGATTGTTGTTATCGACAACATTTTCTATAGAAATTGTTGTTATCGACAACATTTTCTATAGAAATTGTTGTTATCGACAACATTTTCTATAGAAATTGTTGTTATCGACAACATTTTCTACAGAAATTGTTGTTATCGACAACATTTTCTATAGAAATTGTTGTTATCGACAACATTTTCTATAGAAATTGTTGTTATCGACAACATTTTCTACAGAAATTGTTGTAATCGACAACATTTTCTATAGAAATTGTTGTAATCGACAACATTTTCTATAGAAATTGTTGTAATCGACAACATTTTCTATAGAAATTGTTGTTATCGACAACATTTTCTATAGAAATTGTTGTTATCGACAACATTTTCTATAGAAATTGTTGTTATCGACAACATTTCCTATAGAATTTGTTGTTATCGACAACATTTTCGACAACATTTTGTTGTTATCGATAACATTTTCTATAGAAATTGTTGTTATCGACAACATTTTCTATAGAAATTGTTGTTATCGACAACATTTCCTATAGAAATTGTTGTTATCGACAACATTTCCTATAGAAATTGTTGTTATCGACAACATTTCCTATAGAAATTGTTGTTATCGACAACATTTTCTATAGAAAAAGTTGTTATCCACAACATTTTCTATAGATAAACGCTAAAACTTCTTATATTGAAAGTTATTCTTTCCGAGAACATTTTCTATAGAAATTGTTGCAATTGTTTATAAATTCCTCTGACCGACATTTTCAATGGAAAATTCTTTTTTGAAAAAGTTACCTATCTTATTGATATCAAATAAATTTCTTTCATGATTCGTACTCCATCCACGAGGTATAAAATTAAACAGAGGCGTATCACAACAAAACTAATCAAAAAGAATCATAAAAGAAAATTGTGTTATCTTTCATCTCAACTATTGTGAAGATGATAATGTGAGATGACGATACGAAGAGGACTTAGAAGAAACGCCAACAACTCATCCTCTAATGATCATCATAATTATAATAACTATACATACCTACATACAGACAAGTATAGAAAGAAAAGTCACGAATGTAACAAAAATATAGAAGAGGAACAAAAGTTCCGCATACATTTTTCACATTTAAAAGAAAAAAATTAACAAAATGTGTTTTTTATGATTCTTATGCTGCTGTTGCAGCCGAGTGATGAGTGGCTGTTGGCTGGCTGACTTTGCTTTTGATTTAACCAACAATCCAACCAACTCGACTTTTTTTCCCTCAACATATTACAGGAGGCATTGTGGTCCAATGATGATGAAAGCATGCTGGGCTGGCTGGTTGTTGGAAAACTATAAGATAAGAGATTCTTTTATTTTGCTTTGTGTGTTTTCCATTTTTTTTTTTTTTTTTTTTTTTTTTTTTTTTTTTTTTTTTTGTAGCAGAAAAAATTTCTCTGTCGATAAGTAAAACAAAACATAAATGAAAAGAATAGTTCGCTTTTATGTGGCTGGATGGCTATAAAAGTAACAGCAAACATGGAGAGAGAAGAGCAACAAATACTTTAAAGACTTTGTGTTATTAAAATTAAAATCATCTGCCTACAGGGCGGCCGTAGAGGAAGATTCATGTTCATGATCTGTGGGGTAATTCGACATTAAATAGGTGATAAATAGAGCCTAGAAGAAGTTTTGCTGGAATTAAGGAGAAAACATACTGTGAATAAGATTATAGTTTATGGACAGCCCGTGGAGAAGAGGAATTATTGACGGAGTTGGAAAAACTTTGAGATTCTATGAAAAAAAACTCAATACTTCTTGGACATTGTAGGGAAACTGGAGGTAACAAAAACTTTTTTATGAAATAAATGCTCTAAACACCATCTGTTTTTTTTTTTTTATAGATTTTTTAGTTTTTCTATATAAATGTTAATCTCGATTATATTTTCTGAGGAAATTGTTGCTATCGACAACTTTGCCATAATGCGATTATCGAAAATATTGTCGATAGGCAATAATAGTATTGGCAAAACATTTACAGGAAAACCATAGAAAAACAGAAATTGTTCTTATCAACCACATTTTCAATAGAAAAAGTTGCGATCGACAACATTTTCTATAGAAAAAGTTGCGATCGACAACATTTTCTATAGAAAAAGTTGCGATCGACAACATTTTCCATAGAAAAAGTTGCGATCGACAACATTTTCTATAGAAAAAGTTGCGATCGACAAAATTTTCTATAGAAAAAGTTGCGATCGACAAAATTTTCTATAGAAAAAGTTGCGATCGACAAAATTTTCTATAGAAAAAGTTGCGATCGTCAACATTTTCTATAGAAAAAGTTACGATCGACAACATTTTCTATAGAAAAAATAGGTGTTATCGACAACATTTTCTATAGAAATTGTTGTTATCGAAAACATTTTCTATAGAAATTGTTGCTATCGACAACATTTTCTATAGAAATTGTTGCTATCGACAACATTTTCTATAGAAATTGTTGTTATCGACAACATTTTCTATAGAAATTGTTGTTATCGACAACATTTTCTATAGAAATTATTGTTATCGACAACATTTTCTAAAGAAATTGTTGTTGTCGACAACTGTTTTATGAACAATATTTTCAAGAGAAACAGTAACCACCGTTTCTATACATTAACCAAGTTTTTTTTATAGAAGTTGGTTTTATCGATAACATTTTGTTTTCACAGAGTTGCTATCGGTTTAATTTTCTGTAAGAAAATGGTTATCGACTCAATCCATAATGTGAATAAGACCTCTTTATCCTTCAGTTTTTTATTCATACCTATCCAACACTTGTTTATAGAAAAACCAAACCAGGTCAAATTCCAAATTGCAGTTTGCAAGGACTGATCCTGTGTTTTGTAAAATTTAATTAAAACCCCGAATGCAGGTATATGCGTTTGTGTCTACGCTTAAATACCCAACTCTAACTGTTGTTCTGTACTCACCTGTGAATCATTAAAATTAAAATCTCTTTCAGCGTTTGAAATTACAGGATGCAGCACCAATAGCAGCACAAAACTGTATAGCACTAAAGGATGTGTTGTTGTTGATGTTATGTTGCACCAGCGTCGCGTTGTCCTTGATGATGGTGCGGCTGCTGCTGAGGATGGCGATGATGATGAATATGGCGATGTCGCTGACATCATTGTTTCTGTTGTTGTCGATGCCATCATCGACAACTTCCTTGTCCTCGTCCTCGTTCTGCTACTGCTGATGCAGTCGCAGCTATGGCTGTTGTGACAGTTGTTGTCTAAATCTGTGGCGTCGCTAAATGTCGTCGCTAAACGCGAATTTAATTTGGCCACCATCAAGAGAAGACTTTTTCGTGTTCTGCGTTTTTGTTTCGTCTTTCGTTTTGGATTGTGCAAAACGCTGTAAGCAACTAAATTTGTTGTAAAGTTGTCGTAAATGTAAAATCCTAAAAATAATTTTAATACTTTTTTTCTTTTTGGTTCGTGGTAAAAAAATAAAAAAGATATCTTAAGTCGTAGAGGACTTTAACGCCAATGTTTTGGTTGCACGTTGAGGTTGTCGTTAGCAGCAGTGATGGTTTGGTTGATTGACAGACACCGAAATAAAGACCAGGGTAGGTTAGCACAAAAAAATTGCAGGCTAATAAATTCCAAAAGTTACTTCATCTGTAAAGAGAACGGGGGGGGGGGAGAAGAAAAAAATAAATGAATATTTTGTAAGAAAGACCACTGAAATCAGAAACAAGTTAATTTGGTCGACATGGCGAACAGAGAAGCGCATTAATGAAACTAGAAGCGGCATTATTGAATCGAATGAATGAAAATGTTGTGAAATTGTTGTAAAGAGACAGTGGAATGGTATTTGAATTAAAAGCTTAACGTTGATATCGATAGCAACATTTTCGGCAGAAATCGGTAAAGGCCATAACTTTATGTAGAGAAATAGGTGATGTAGGTAAAATTTTGAGGAGGCATTGTTATCGAAAATATTTTCTATAGAAATTGTTCTTATCGACAACATTTCCGATAGCAATTGTTGTTATCGACAACATTTTCTATAGTAATTGTTGTTATCGACAACATTTCCGATAGAAATTGTTGTTATCGACAACATTTCCGCTAGAAATTGTTGTTATCGACAACATTTCCGATAGAAATTGTTGTTATCGACAACATTTCCGATAGAAATTGTTGTTATCGACAACATATTCTATAGAAATTGTTCTTATCAACAACATTTTTTATAGAAATTCTTGTTATCGACAACATTTTCTATAGAAATTGTTGTTATCGACAACTTTTTTTGCGATGGAAATCTTCTATGTTATCTTCTGTTATCTTCTATAAAAATTGTTGTTATCGACAACATTTTGTTATCGACAGCAACTTCTATAGAAATTGTTGTTATCGACAACATTTTCTATAGAAATTGTTGTTATCGACAACATTTTCTATAGAAATTGTTGTTATCGACATTTTCTATAGAAATTGTTGTTATCGACATTTTCTATAGAAATTGTTGTTATCGACATTTTCTATAGAAATTGTTGTTATCGACAACATTTCCGCTAGAAATTGTTGTTATCGACAACATTTCCGATAGAAATTGTTGTTATCGACAACATTTCCGATAGAAATTGTTGTTATCGACAACATATTCTATAGAAATTGTTCTTATCAACAACATTTTTTATAGAAATTCTTGTTATCGACAACATTTTCTATAGAAATTGTTGTTATCGACAACTTTTTTTGCGATGGAAATCTTCTATGTTATCTTCTGTTATCTTCTATAAAAATTGTTGTTATCGACAACATTTTGTTATCGACAGCAACTTCTATAGAAATTGTTGTTATCGACAACATTTTCTATAGAAATTGTTGTTATCGACAACATTTTCTATAGAAATTGTTGTTATCGACATTTTCTATAGAAATTGTTGTTATCGACATTTTCTATAGAAATTGTTGTTATCGACAACATTTTCTATAGAAATTGTTGTTATCGACAACATTTTCTATAGAAATTGTTGTTATCGACAACATTTTCTATAGAAATTGATGTTATCGACAACATTTTCTATAGAAATTGTTGTTATCGACAACATTTTCTATAGAAATTGTTGTTATCGACAACATTTTCTATAGAAATTGTTGTTATCGACAACATTTTCTATAGAAATTGTTGTTATCGACAACAACATTTTTTCTGTGGAAATTGTTGTTACCGACCATCCTTTCATATTTTTTTTTTTTTGATAGAATACTTGAATTTACGATATTTCGGCCTTTTAAAATTAACTCCACTCCACTGTATTATAAATAATTCAATTTGGTTTTCAAATCAGATTACAGTTTTTCCCAAGAAAACAAAGTAACCAAATTGACAACTTAAGACATTTACTGAGATTTACGAAAATCCCAACAAACGACAAAAAAATGTATGTCATTGCGCATACAAATATGACGTCTGACGCCAGTTCTGGGCCGCCAGCTACTCAATCATAAAATGCCAACAAAAAACATTTTAAAATATTGAGAAAAAATGTCATTTAATTAGATTTTAAATGAAAGATAAAATTTTCGAAAAATATGCTGTAGGCCGGCCGGGTGGTGAGGTAAGGCTGACCTGTTTTTTTTTTTTTTTTGGTTGGTTTTCAATGGAAATTTGTGGCATTTCAGCATTTTGCTTATCATAGAAGAAAGTTGGTCTCTATCTTGCCGCGGCTAACAACAGTAGTACACCTCTTTGAAGCAAAAATTGTGTCACAATTATTTTATCTAAAATTATTTTAGAGGAATTTTTTGAGAGGTGTATTTCATGTCTTTCACGGGGTTTTCCTTATCAGCGGCGACAGCAAAGTATGCGTAATGAATAACCCTTTTTCTACCAACTACTACTGATAACAGAATTTGGAATGTGGGTCAATGTTCAAAACTTTTTTCGAATAACCGAAAAAACTTATTTACAGTTGTATAAACATTGTTGTGCACCATGTGTTTTAAAGAAAATTTGATTTCTTTTTTTTTTTTTTTTGAGAAAATTTAAAAAAGATTTGCAAGCGAAGAGCTTGCACAGGTCTTCAACAGATTAAAAAAAAATGTTTAAAGCTCAAGTATCTGCCATCATATTGTCGTTGCTATTGACATTTTCCATAGAAATTGTTTTATCGACAACATTTTCGATAGAAAATTGTTGCCATCGACAACATTTTCTTTGTTGTTATCGACAACATTTTCGATAGAAAATTGTTGTTATCGACAACATTTTCGATAGAAAATTGTTGTTATCGACAACATTTTCCATTGGAAATTGTTGTTATCGACAACATTTTCCATTGGAAATTGTTGTTATCGACAACATTTTCTAAAGCAAATTGTTGTTATCGACAACATTTTCGATAGAAAATTGTTGCCATCGACAACATTTTCGATAGAAAATTGTTGTCATCGACAACATTTTCGATAGAAAATCGTTGTCATCGACAACATTTTCGATAGAAAATTGTTGTCATCGACAACATTTTCGATAGAAAATTGTGTTTATCGACAACATTTTCTATAGAAAATTGTGTTTATCGACAACATTTTCTATAGAAAATTGTGTTTATCGACAACATTTTCGATAGAAAATTGTTGTTATCGACAACATTTTCGATAGAAAATTGTTGTTATCGACAACATTTTCCATTGGAAATTTTTGTTATCGACAACATTTTCCATTGGAAATTGTTGTTATCGACAACATTTTCCATTGGAAATTGTTGTTATCGACAACATTGTCGATAGAAAATTGTTGTCATCGACAACATTTTCGATAGAAAATTGTTGTTTTCGACAACATTTTCGATAGAAAATTGTTGTTATCGACAACATTTTCCATTGGAAATTGTTGTTATCGACAACATTTTCCATTGGAAATTGTTGTTATCGACAACATTTTCCATTGGAAATTGTTGTTATCGACAGCATTTTCCATTGGAAATTGTTGTTATCGACAACATTTTCAAAAGCAAATTGTTGTTATCGACAACATTTTCTATAGCAAATTGTTGTTGTCGACATCATTTTCTATAGCAAATTATTGTTATCGACAACATTTTCTATAGCAAATTGTTGTCATCGACAACATTTTCGATAGAAAATTGTTGTCATCGACAACATTTTCGATAGAAAATTGTGTTTATCGACAACATTTTCTATAGAAAATTGTGTTTATCGACAACATTTTCGGTAGAAAATTGTTGTTATCGACTACATTTTCCATTGGAAATTGTTGTCATCGACAACATTTTCGATAGAAAATTGTTGTTATCGACAACATTTTCCATTGGAAATTGTTGTTATCGACAGCATTTTCCATTGGAAATTGTTGTTATCGACAACATTTTCAATTGGAAATTGTTGTTATCGACAACATTTTCCATTGGAAATTGTTGTTATCGACAACATTTTCTATAGAAATTCTTGTTATCGACAACATTTTCTATAGGAATTATTGTTATCGTTCTTCTCAGAGAAACATTTCGAAATGCAACAAAGGGAATAAAAATTTAAATACACCCACAAGATTATGGAAGTGAGTATAAAGCCGTGTTGTAATTTCAATAACACCCCATTCCCCATAATTTTGTTTTTCCATTTATGTGTTTAAGCGTTAAATGGATGGATATTTGGTGTGGTCCGAAAAGAAAAACGAATTTGGGTTTCTAACAACTCATTCATCCGGTCGTTTTAATTCTTTCCACCATTCGTCCATCCATCCAGCTGGTCATGCTCGGCCGTGCACGTGTGTCCTTGCCCGCTGCTGATGGCCACTGCCACCGCCTGTCAAACATATAAACCCGCTCACATCCAAACAGATGGTTTATTTGGTTTCAAAGCAAAAACATTTGTTTTATGGCCTGCTTAGGTGGTTGGGCTTCTTCGTCTTCTGCCATCCAGCAGTTGCAAAAGGGATGATCTCAACGAACGTTGGTCAGGGTCATTCAAAAATGTTTATAATTGTTTACACACATATGTACACACTTCCTTATGGACCTCTCTCTCCCTGCCACTTTTTCACTCTTGGTAATTTTTAGGAGATGTATGTAGATAATAAACTGCTGTGGACGGATGTGAGATTCTCCAATTCCGGGACATTGGTCAGTTGTCCATCAAAAGCAAATACTTACTCGCTTCAATGGAAACCCCCCGAATAAAATTTTATTCAGCTGCTGGTGTTGGTGGTGTTGCTACCTAAAATAAACTCCCTAATGTAGGTCATCTTCTCTATGGGCATGTAGTTGGTTGGTTGGTTGGTGGGTAACTTGGTTAGATGGATGTGTTGGCGGCGGGGGGTACTCTTCTTTGTTTTTGTGTGTGTGGTCGGTCGCCTGCGGCACACATTTGCATGATGCCCTGGTCGAGGCTGTTGATGCCCAACCATGTCAATTCCATTGCCCAAAAACTCTGGGTGTCGAATTCATTGAAATATTTCATTTCACACATTATTGAGCAGTAGGAACAGCATTTGTTTGTTGTTTTTGCTTCGAAACTGTCCATTTTTCACGTATCGATTATTGACAAGGGATCAAGAGAATATTATTTGGAAGGGCAAAGCTGTCGATGATTTATCACAACAAGTTTTTGAGTAGGGATTAAAACTTATTATTGGACAGCAGCAT